GCGCAGGCTCGGCCACCCGCTGCCGAGCGCTACGCGACGCGCCACCGCCCCCCCTCCCCCGTCCGAGCCGCGCTCCAAAAGGCGCGAAGGCCGCAGGCGGGTGGGGGGAGGGGGTTGTAACGTCCTGCCACGGCGGCTCCCAACCGCCATGTTGGTCAGGGCTCCCCCCTAGTCGCACATAGCCTCATCTCTGCCTCAGGCCTAGCCCAAGTGTGGCCCTTTAGTCTAATTCTAAGCCATAGTGTGTGCGAGTGATGCTTATGGAAATGCACCTGCATGTACAGGGTCGCACACACGGATATGCACCCCACCGCCCCCTGAGCCGGCCACACATGGAGGAGGGCTGACCCCCGCGCAAGCCTGACATGCCGCCCCTCCAACTGGGTCCTGGCACAAGGGCAGCCCCCAGCCTCTTGGCAGGCAGGATGCCCATGTGGCGGCCCCTCGTGGGGCTTGGCATGCGGCATGCAGGTGTTGTACAGGTTGTACTGAGCTAGGCCCACGCCATGTCGTGGGCCCTGTGGTACAGCCATGGGCCTGTGGCACACCTTGTTGGCTTTAATGCCTGATTCATATGCAAGAGCGTTCCCTCACGCAGCAACGTGCGGGCCTCACAAGGCCTGGGCTGCTGCCCCCTGCCCACTGCATGTGTGAAACACCAAGCTCAGCGCGCCACGCCAGCAGTACGAATGCAGCACGCACAGCTAGTAGGCCTCTGCAGGGGATACATCCGACCCCCATCTTGTACAGCCAGTTCTTACCCATTTCCCTGCACGGAAAATGTCTGTGGCCTACATAGCCTCTTCCCCGTGTGTGGGATGCGGAGGCCCCACTGTCTGCTACATCCAAATCTGAGACACGCAACACAGCGGGTGCCATATGCCCATCACGTTTTGACATGTCCAAGACACAGGCTGGGTTGAGTCATTCCTCATTACTAACCAGTGTGATGCGAAGACAGTCTTCCCATCTCCCTAAAACAATAGCTCTTTTAGCAACTAACGCTTGTGACATCCAACACACCAGCCAACACCTCTCTAGCGTATGCAAAATACCTATCATCTTTCCTCTCACACCCTCACTTGTGAACACCCAATGCATCAGCCAACCTATATCCACTATGCCATACACCTAACGTACTGACTGTACCTCTCCACATTCCCAAAGTTGAATACACCAAACATTTTTTGCCACCTGGTGCCACAGCAACAAAGTTTGGCTCCTCGGGCAAGGCCTGCAGCGGCAGCCCACCCTCACCCCGCGCACAGATCCAGGGGGCACCCCCCCACACACCATGCTTGCCCGGGAGTGCACGCAGCAGCGCAACCCGCCCTTCTACGTCCCTGCACCCACCCCGAAACGAGCTGCTCGTGGCTTCGTCCCCTGACCCGCCCCGGTTGGCCAGTACCTGTTGCCACCCTTTTGCTTCGGCACCCGGCATGATCACCCCATTCACCCCACTTGCTGTAGCACCCAGGGCTCATCTCCCCCTCCCCTTGCTACTGTTGCCACCACACATCTAATGCGTCAGTGGATCCTTTGTCCTTATGAGAGTACTCAGCACATCAACTCATATTTCCAACATGTGACTCTGGGTCCATCTACACATGTGTAGTATTTCTTTCTATTACCCTGCAACCCCATGTATGATGCCTTAAATATGCACATTATTGCCTTTCATTTCCCTCATGTGTGTGACATGCCCCAAATGCTAACTGTGCCAGATGCTAGACACACCCATCAGGGACGCTAGTCCTGTGCCACATTTAATGAGCCATTATCATTGAATTTCTGTGTGAGATATCTAACATGCTATCAAATCTACACAAGCACAAGTATTGCTTGATACACAAGCACAAGTATTGCACTCCCACCCCACTGCCACACATTTCCACAGCTATGTCCTAGGCATGTGACACACCTAGCTGCTTCCTCAACATCACCACGCACCTGACACCCAAGTTCTTGCCTCTTGCTGTCTCCTGCATGAAAATCTCAACTCATACATACCACATAGATTGCACGTGCCTCCTGAGAAACACTCAACCAGTGCCTTTCTTTACAACATACATACATCCAACCTAGCTTTCACCAGCATGACAAACTCATCTCATTACCTTGTCCTTCATGTGTGGTGCCTAACCTGTCACCCACCTATGCATATAATGCATCAAAACCAGCTTCCTTCTACCTCCCAGTCATGTGACAGACCTATCTCAACAAAGTGTCTTACTCTTCCATCTGAAGGGCAGATGCTATCTCTACACCCTCGTGCATAACAAATATACTTCAACAACTATCAGCACATACGACACAACCAGAGCCATTTCAGGCAGGCTGTAAAACCTGCAGCTACAGGAATCACTTGAATAAGAGTATATCGTGCACACTCCATACACAGAGCCCCATGTAGTCTTTCAGCACAATGGGCCTAATTTATGCAGCAAAACCTAATTTCTGCAACGATGGTGTTTTATTCTATTACCATGCAATACCCTTTACTTCTAACCCCTCCCTATCCCCCCACCACGGCCCATAGTTAAAAAGAATCATAGATGTACACTCTATTATTTTCAACAGTGACTTTTTAAAATGTTGTATGCAGAACTTTCCAGACAGTTTGGTTCCACTCCCCAGGCCTGCTTCTGTGATGTTGTTCAGGCAGCTTTTCTCAAAGGGGTGCCATGGAGGAGAAGACGTCATAGCTGACTTCATCATCCCATTTTCCAGTTACCCTAGTATCATCTGGAGCACTGTCCTGACAAACCAGTTTGCCTCTCTATACTTTTGGTTTCTCTTTGTGCCATGACTCCCTGGCATCACATTGTCTTGTTCCACAAAACAGCGCAGGAAACATGAACTCTAATCTGTTTAACTCTCCATTGAGTGAAAATCTAGAAAGCAAAAGATAGTTGCAGGTAAGTCCTAGCAGGACTGGGAGGCAAAAAAATCCAGAAACAAAATGCTGAACACGTGGATGTAATAAAATGCAAATTCTGTGGCAAAACTGATGGATTCCATAAAACCCTGGAAAGAGTTCATAAATGTAAAAAAATCAAACCTTTCAAAGTTATTGCTTCCAACAGCCAGCAATCTAGGGGCTTGTTTACACAGGAAAATTAACCAGGAAATCTATACTTTTATAGTTATACTGGCATAGGTGGTATAATTCCCCAAGTGGACACTCTAATTTTGGAATATTCTGCAACAAGTACCCTTTTTCCCCTTTTTGCTTTTGTTGCTTTGAAAGCCGTATAAACTAAATTGGAAAAAGGCATTCTTAATCAGGAAAAAGGGTGGCCACAAGGCAAATTATACTATCATAAATATAGCAGTACAATAATACCAGTACGGTTTGCCTTCTCCACATAGACAAGCCATAAGGCAAGCATCACAACAAGCATTTATGTTAATTTCATATTTCTGAAGATATCTTTGCATTCAGAAGGTCTAGAAACACACTTATTTCAACAGTGAAAGCTGAGATGTGAAACAACATTTTCTAGCAAGAGGAGAATTCCACAGCTGGGAAATCATGGTACATGTGAAGTCTATCCATATGTTTGCAAATTAGTTATGGGGAGTATGAGATAGCGAACAGGTGCAGCTGTCTGGGGCCTAGAAAGAATGGCAATATGGTGAACACAAGGCTACAGAGCTGTCAGGCCCGATGGAATCCTTCAACCCGAACAAAGAAAAGAATCCAGGTCAACAAGTTACTCCTGAATTTGCGCCTATTCCACCATCCCTCTTCTGTCTACTTCTGTCTCTTAAATGGGAAATGGAGCCTTGGATCAAGGTGGAGTCTTTTATTAAGGGTTATTAGTCTGCTAACCTGGAGTATATTGAACACAGACACAATACATGCCTTGAATACAAAGCTGAGAGCCTGCTTACTGGTGCTGGATGTGGTTGGGTAATAGGAAAGGTAGCATATCTTCTAAACAGTTTCTGTTATCTGACTGTTGTAATCTAGCTGGAAGAGTGTCTTTCCCATGTCTTTCTGAGCTGTGTTAGGAGCATATCCTACTCCCTGGGACATGCCAGCAATTGGAGAGACCCTGAGGAGTCTGCTGGTTAGCTCATTATCGGAGCACCTGGGATGGATGTGAGTGTTATATTTTCCCTCTTGAGGAAAACAAGTATTTTTCTGATGATGAAGATGGATATCCTATCAACTGTAAACCTGGTCCTGGATCAAGATATAATGATGGTTCAGACAGATGGTTTGGTGCTAATCATGACATTCTGGGCAAATGGACCAGAAGATGATGTCAGCTTTATCATTCTGGCAATAAATATAACCTTATTCATATTAACTGGATGATAGATAGCTGAATGAATGATGGTAGCTCAATAAATAATGGGCAATCCTATACACTGAGCATAAATGGCACCTTTCCTTCATGTCCTCCCCATGCTCAGCTTATATTAAGAGTAAGAATCATTACAAGTCTGAAAAGCATAATATAATGGTACAGGTACTGATCCAGAACCTCTGTATATCTATGTATATCATAGCTGCTTTCATTAAACATTTTTTGACACTGAACTCTGAAAAATGCAAAACAGCTGTTTGGCCCCAGCATGCAAGTTTGGGGGATCTGATCTGC